CCGCTGACGTCGGTGCTTCGGCTGTATCTCAGGAGGTTTATCCTCGAATGGATCTTCTTTGTCATTGTTATTACCCTCTGCGGTGTATCCACCATGTACATGTCATACGAAGAGGTGGCCATCCAGCGTCCGATAAATGGAGGGTTTTGGGCCTGCTCTTCTCCGTCATCATCGTCCATACCGTCGATGTCTTCGGAGCTGTAATCGAGCATGTCAGTTAAGTCCTCGACAGTGGCTATGAAGTGGGTGGAACGTAAAATTCCCTGCTCTCAGCCCCTAGTTCGGGTTGGGCGTAGTTCGGACGTTGCTCCTCTGTAATGACAAGGGATCACATTAAGTCCAGAGCCTCGCTTAAAGGCGAGGTTTGTCCTGGGGAAGAGAGTCCATGGAGTATGGCGGGAGGGAGACTCCTTGGCCGAACTCACACGATGCTGACTCCGAGGGTTCGGAGCTAGTGTCCGGAGAAGAGCCCGACTTCATGATGGTTGCCAGCGACACTATTTCCTCCGGCTCTCCCGTGCTGGGCTTAGTGGCCGCAGATAGTCCGGCGGGCTCAGTAATCCCGTCTTCGGACCTGGCGATGCGCTCCGGATCTAAGGCCAGAGCGGAGGTTGGGGTCGTAAACCCTTGGAAGATCAAGTCTCCTTGGATATCAGCGACATAGTCCAGATTTCCAAAACTAATCTGGTGACCTAGGGCGTAGATGTCGATCTGCTCTAGATGGCCAAGCGAGTTGGCCCGCGGTGCGAAGCCGCCGAACACAAAGATCTGGCCGGGAAGGAAAACCTTCCCCAGGGCAGCATTGTTGTAGATGACTGATGAAGCCATCGAACCTTCTGATGACGACCCAGCGGAACTCTCAATGAAAGCACCAATGTCGGTGTCAAAACCGACGGATCTCGGGTAGGGGGTCCCGAACTGTGCGTCTAAGATCGATGGTAATAGGAGACGGGGGACATGATGTTTACCCAGGTTCGGGCCCTCTTGATGGAGGTAATACCCTACTTCCTGCTTGATTGATTTTGATGAATATGAGGATTACAAGAGTTGATCTACCACGAGATCGTAATGGTTAAATCCTAGATGTCTAGCCTGTATGTTTGTGATTGCCTCTACGGACTAAACCCTCTGGTTTATCTAGACACAGAGGGGCCTAGGGTTGTACAGAGTCGGTTTACAAAGAAAGGAATCTACATATCCGAATGTCAAGCTTGCCATCCACGCAAAGGAGAGTCCCATCCGGACATGGAAAGAAGTCTTTTGTCTTTTATCTTCATAGCCCATTAGTCCGGCCGTACATAGTCTGAACGCCTGAGGACCCCTTAATCCAGGACTCCCTCAAGCGCTCCTTGGGAGTGCTCCCAACGATAGCTTGGGGTTGGGTTGAGAGCGCCACTTGGCCCACTCTTAGCTACAACCACGTGTCGTGCTCTGGGCGTACCCTCCGGATTTTTTTATTTTTCGCACGCGTTTTCGGCTTTTTAAACGGTTTTCCCTAGTTCTTTTTTTGCTTGCTGGTTTTTCACCGGTCTTTCTTATCTTTTTGACAAAAAATCAAAAACTTTTTAGCAAAAGCGCGTTTTTTTCTTTCGCGAGAGACACAGTTTTGCTTTCGCGAGAGGCACAGTTTTGCTTTCGCGGGAGGCACGACCATGCCTCTCGAAAACGAGAAAAATGTGTTTTCTGTTTTTTTTCTTCCGCGAGAGGCACAGTTTTGCTTTCACTAGAGGCACGGTTTTGCCGTCGCAAGAGGCACGACCGTGCCTCTCGGAAACGGAAAAAATGTGTTTTCTGTTTTTTTTCGTCCGCGAGAGGCACGGCCGTTCCTTTCAGAAACAAAAAAAACGCGTTTTCTTTTTTTTTTCCTTCCACGAGAGACACGGTTTTGCTTCCGCGAGAGGCACGGGCGTGCCTCTCGAAAACGAAAAAAATG